CACAAGAAACCAAACCCAATTTGCTCCTTATCACCTTTTCTTTAAGGCTGGGAACAGGGCTCCCTGTGTAATACACAGGATTAATGGAGTTGACTGTCCCTGTCATGCCCACTGACTCCTGCCAGCTGTGCCTTTCCAGCCAAGATCCTTCCTGGACTCAGTGGGATAGCAGGAGAGTATGCTATTCCCTAAGGACCTAAGAATATATTACACACACATTCATGACAATGCAAACTCCTTTATCCCCACTGCAGATACCCCGGAGGCTTAACATCATTCTTCCCTATTGGTTATCTAAAATAATGTCAGTGATTAAATCTCCCTTCTCTAATCACCCCATAATATTATCCCTTCTAGGAACAAGCCATACCAGTATAAATACTACCATATATGCATTTTTCTGCTCACAGAGAGGAATTCCATCTTTCTGGCAATATATATAAAACAATAGGAGCTTGTGTGTCTGAATGAGCACTGGAAATGTTCAAAAATACTTCTATAAGGTGCCATATTGGCTAGTAGCAACACATATCTACTATGGGAAGCAAATAAGCAAGTACTACAGGGGCTTTCTCCTGTCATGCTCTGAGCAGATCTGAACCAACATGGTTGCTAAACCAAGGCATTCTGTTTGTGCAGTACTTTCATCTTGGTAGTGTGGATCTGAAGTGAGCAAGCAATTTCAGAGTACTTCAGAAAAACTTCAATATAGGAAAGAAAAGGTAAAGTCTTTTTGCAAGGCTTCTGACTAGAAGAAGCTTACAGGAGAAGCAAATGTTGAATAGGGCTGCCCTATGTTGGCACAGCTATATGTTAATCTTGAAATAGTGCATATAAGTGTATTTAATGAGCAAAGCTATGCAGTTGCCATCATTAGTGCAGAAAGGATATGAGGAGCAAGAATCCTTTAAAACCTGTCTTCCATGGAAAGGCATCAGCCAAACAGCTTGTCAAGAGCCATGGTCTGTGCATATCAAAAGGATATTCTCTAGCACAAGATTTATGCATTGACAGTACTTTCTACCTTGGTTCTTTAGATGTGATTAATCCCACATGAGAAGTATTTCATTTAGGTCCTCTTTGCCTTCATTTTAGAATGGGGATTTTCTCTTCATGGCCATTTCTTTCTCTCCTTCTGCTGGAGCCTTGAAGTCTGGAGCTTTGTATTTAATCACTGCCTATGGAGTCACTGCAGATGGTATCTGCTCAATGCTACCAAATGCTAGATGGCATCTAATAAAAGTACAAAAACCCTCATAAAATTATTTCAGAATTTGAAAGTACACATGCCTATTTAACGTGGTGAGTAAACTCAGCCAAGGGTCCTACTTAAATTCATTATTTTAATTCAGCTTTAATTCCAATGTTTCTGCTTTAGTGTCATATGGTACAAAAGAAAATGTCTGTGCTTCCAAATCCCTCCAAAAAGATAATTTCACAGGAAGGACAGGACCTTCTAATTATGATTTTTACAAATGTGCTTTAATATGGCTGTTCCATGGCAGGGAAGGCTTCTTTTCTCAGTGGGGCTCCTTGTACAAGATAACCAGGATTAAAGACCACAACCAGTCACTGAATAAGAAAATCCCTGAGAAGAGAGAAACAGCTGGAAGGAGGCCAAAGCTGCTGCCAAAAGATGCTTCAGTGAGTGAGTGCATTCACTCTGATGAGGGAGGCCAGAGGATAGCTCTTGAGAAACAGTTCCTGAATTAGCTTTCAGTCTTGTTATATCTGGCAGTGAACTTTATAGCTTTCACAATGAGCAGCAGGCTTCACAATCCAGCCGAGTGTCCTTCCAGTGATGACACAGTGGATGTAGCTAGGCTGTATAAGAAAGATTGTCAGCTAAGCAAACCTGTTAGTGAAGGCTTGAAATGCTCTTTATCCTTACTAGGTATTAGTTTTGGCATGAAAACAAAACTGATTGTGCAAAAGGAAGGTCGCCAGCAAAGTAATAATGAGAAGAAGGATTAAGCTGGGCTTAATTTTCTAATAAGCTGGGCTTAATTTTCTAATAGTGACTGGTTTACATTAATGATTTTCTGGGAACACAGAGAAGGTCTGCACAATGGTGAACAACTGAGTATCTAATACACAGGAAACTGCAAAGAATTTCGTCCTTTCCACTCATTAGTGAAGACTACTCATAGTTTTGCAGGGTCAGGACTTAACCGAAACCGCTCTTTGAATTTGAGATTTCAATTATTTGAATGGCATAAGGCTAAAATATCAAATGAACCCTACATCTCTTTAGGTGCCATTTACTTACTTCTTTTGAAGTCACTTGTGACTCTCTAATAGGTTGTACTCACCACATTTATATGTCCTCTTAAATAAAACACATTGTGGCTCTTGGCAATGCAGCTTATACGTTCATAAAATCCAAGTAATTTTGTGTTAAGTTCTAATTAAGAAATTTAATTGAGCCTCCAGTTGCTACTCTGTCTGTGTAAGCAGCAGCTAGGGATCACCTAATCATTCAGAGATCTGTATTGCTTTCCTTTTGTTTATTTAAAGAGCTGTACATGACACATATTTCTTTAGACGAGTTCTCTTTAAATAGTGGACAATGAAAGCAAAGAGCATGTAAACTTTGTGGCTACTCCTAAACAATCATCTGAGTACTTTGTAAGTGACACTGAAGCTCTCTCTTTTTGCCCTAGGTGAAAACCCTTTCTTGTGTCACACAGAAAAATAGCAACATTCTTTATTCTCGAAAGAATTTACTATTAGAAAGGCTAAATTGTCAAAATAAATGTTTTCTTGTTATAGAGATTTAACCACTATTATTTTCCACTGTGTCCTTTGCTCAGAGACTTTGTTATACATCATAAAAAATCCAGTGTCAATCAACTGTCTCTCAGCAGTAGAAAGTGACATCCCTATGAAGATCAGGGCCCTCAAATGAGACTTTGAACCCCCTGTACTGGTAAATATCCAGAACAGCTTTGCTGCTGTCATTACAGATATCCTGGTGTAACTCAGGTCAGGCTCTGTGCACAGCGCCTGGCTTCTTCTCAGAAGGATCAGTTGCACTCCAGTAAATTAAGCAGTAACACAAATAACAATCCAGTCACCCAGGTTTTTCAAAAGTCTTCCCCCTGCCAAGCCTGTTTAGCCGTGCTTACGTATAATCAAAGCCTACAATGGCCTAACTTTTACCATATTTCAAGCGCTTTGCATCTCGATTTTGTTAAGGGTCCAGTTCTGTTGAAATGGTTTCAGCTGATAAGATTATTCTAGTAAGCAGGGCTTAACCTTGGGGAAACAAAGAGTGGATTGAAATAGCGTTCGCCCTTCCCTTCTCTTCCAGTCTGCAGATGCACGCACAGGCTGCCTGCGCTCCCCTCTCGCTGCGCTCCGCACCCCGCGGGTCACCTTGCCGGGCAGGCGCGGCGCTCCCCGGAGCGGGGCGCGCAGCGCTGGTCGGCCTCTGCCACCTGCTGGCAAAGCCGCAAACGGCCCGGCCGTGAAACCGGAGCCTGAAGGCTGCCTGTGCACTCCTAAAACCCGTCTCCATTAACTAAAACCATCGTGGCACAAAGAGGACAGCCTTCTACTGCCGTTGCTCTTCACGCAGCTTTGGCTATGCCCGAAGAACTCCGTCAGAAAAATACCTCCAAAATTAAAATAGCTGTTCTTGCACATATACATAAAGGCCTTCATTGATTAGAGCATATTTGTGTTCTGTGAGACTGATTTGTGTTGTTTTTAAGGCAATTCAAACAACCTTTTAGGTATCTGCATCAATTTTAGAATTGATATTAACAGCTGAACTTATCCTTATTAGGCCTAACTGATTTCTGCTCCTGAATTGTGGTAAAATTGAAATGTAGGTCTGGGTTGAAACCTGGCAAAAGGTGAAAATTCTCTTTTCAGCTTTATATCCTATGCCTGATACACTAAGTAGCCCACACAGCAAATCTGCATATGCCTTAGAGTGTTAGCTGTTTAACATATTGTGGGCAGCTGATATTCATATCTGTGAGAGGTTAATAACACCCTGTGAACCAGAGGGTTCCTGGGCACACTTGGGTAATTGCTGCAGTTAAATGCTTTAGACTCACAGCAGCCTCTGGAGATGAAATTCTCATGCAAAATTCATTCCCATAAATTACTGCAGTTCATCAAAGATTCTTCTCACAAAAGTACTGCACAGTGAATTTCTTCAACTGAAGCTTGTATCTTGATCAAAAATATGTCTGTCAATACAAACCCCTACCTCTGCCTCAAGCAGAGTCTTGTTCTACCCCTCTAGGAAGCTGCAGCCTCCGGAAGCGCAGAGCAGCCCTCAGGCTGCCAGCACCACTAACGCTGGCCTTCTGGGAAGCCTCGGAGAGAAACAGAGAGGAAACAAAGGTCTGCCCAGGTTATTAGAAAGTGAATGGATTTGGGGGGGAAAAAAAAAAAACAACAAGCCAACAAACCAAAAAACACTATGTGACAGGACCGTCTTTTGGGTTTTTGGGATCCTTTTGAGATGACAGCCTTATAGCTGCTATCACCATCAGAAGCACAAGAAAAGGGGAGGGGGATGGCACACAAGAATTAGCTCCATTTAATTTGGGTTGCTACTCCTTGTGCAACACATTATGAAATGAGTGTTAGCTCATCTAGACTCATTAGGTTACAAAGTAAGTCCAGGCTGTCTAAAAGCATATCTTTACCGTACGCCTTCAGACAAAACATAACTTTCTGAACGTACTGCTTAGAGCGTACTTCCAGAACGAAGCTTCCCAGCCAAAGAACAGACCTGCATCGTACCAAGGCGAATCGCCTCTCTTTTTCTTCCGCAGGGCGGGGGAAGCAAATATACCCAGCACATTTTAAGCGGCGGAGATGACAAAAGACAAGACAAGACATTCTGTTCCACACTGCACCACAGGCACCTATAGAACGCGTCCTTCCGGCGGCAGACGGGGGGCGGGGACAGACGGGGACGGGCTCCATCCCGTGCCCGGGGCGCTCCCGGCGGAAGCGGTGGCGCGGGGCGGGGAGCCATGGCGGCCATGGTGGCGGAGCAACGTGAGTTGGGGCGGCTCTCGGCACTCGCCGTGTACCGCCGGATGGCGGGGGCCGGGCGGATGGAGCGGCGCCGCCGCGGGGCCCCGCTGCCCGCGGGTCGCAAGCGGGCCAAGGCCCGCCCGAGGCGCGGCCGGGCGGGAGGCGGCGGCTCGGAGCCGGAGGCGCCGCCGCCCGCCGCGCCCCCGAGCCGCGTGGAGCTCCCCGAGGAGGCCCCCGTGGAGCTCCCCGTGGTGGTGCCCGAGGAGGCCCCCGTGGAGCTCCCCGTGGTGGTGCCCGTGGAGGCCCCCGTGGAGGCCCCCGTGGATCCTCGGCCCAAGGCGACGGACGCCGGGCCTGACGCGAAACCGCGTGGTGGCCCCAAGGCGATGCCCTGCGGCCCGCAGCCGGCCGGGAAGGACAGCGGCGGTGTGTCGGGGCTGCTGCGGCGACTGGCGCGGCTGGAGGACAGCCGGCAGCGGGCCGCCGAGCTCTTCCGCTGGCTGCTGGCCCCGGTGGCGCCGGCGGAGTTCCTGGGGCGGCACTGGGAACGGGCGCCGCTGCTCCTGCGGCGGGGCGACCCCGGCTACTACGCGGGGCTCTTCTCCACGGCCGACTTCGACGCCGCCTTGCGAGGAGGAGAGGTTCACTTCGGCACCCACCTGGATGTGACCAGCTATGCCGAGGGAGTGCGGGAGACGCACAACCCCTCCGGCAGAGCCCTGCCCGCTGTCGTGTGGGACTTCTACCAGAACGGCTGCTCCCTGCGCCTCCTCTGCCCGCAGGCCTTCTCCCCTACCGTCTGGCACTTCCTCTCCATCCTGCAGGAGCAGTTTGGCAGCATGGCAGGGGCGAATACCTACCTCACGCCCCCGGGTACGCAGGGCTTTGCCCCCCACTATGATGACATTGAGGCCTTCGTGCTGCAGCTGGAAGGGAAGAAGCACTGGCGTGTCTACAGGCCCCGAACAGATGCTGAGGTGCTGCCCCAGTTCTCCAGCGCAAACCTCACGCAGGCTGAACTCGGTGAGCCTGTGCTGGAGACTGTGCTGGAGGCTGGAGACCTGCTGTACTTCCCCCGTGGCTTTATCCACCAGGGTGATTGTCTCCCTGATGCACATTCACTCCACATCACTGTGTCTTCCTACCAGAGGAATTCCTGGGGGGACTTTCTGGAGAAGCTCCTCCCAGCTGCCCTGCAGATGGCCCTGGAGGAAGACGTGGAGTACCGACGGGGGCTTCCCATGGACTACCTGCAGTATATGGGGGTCACTAACTCTGACACAGTCGATGTTCGGCGAACGGCCTTTGTGGAGAAGGTGCAGAGCCTGATAAAGAAACTTGTTGACTATGCACCCATCGATGCTGCTGTGGATCAGAGAGCCAAGTTGTTTCTTCATGACTGTCTCCCTCCAGTGCTCACACAAAGTGAAAAGGCACAGAGTGTCTATGGCTTCCCGGCCCGGTGGCAAGATGGAGGGCCCTGCAATGTTGATATTCTGATAACAAAAGACACCGAAGTACGCCTGCTCCGTCATGGCATTGTTAGACTGTGTAATGAAGAGGCAGGTATGATGCTGTACTACACTACAGAAAACTCAAGAGTGTATCATAAGGAAGAACCCAAGTTTCTTGAGCTAGATCCTGAATATACAGACAGTATAGAATTTCTTCTGTCTTCCTATCCAAATCATGTAAGTGTGGCTAACCTTCCATGTGAAACCTTGGAGGAAAAGATTTCTCTAGCTACACTTCTGTTTGAGAAAGGTATTCTGACTACAAAGAAGCCTCTGGCAAAAATATAACCATTATTTTTTCACAAAATAAAAGTACACTTGTTTAGAAAATGTTCTGTCTTGGTCTTGCCTTCCATCTGCTAGATATGAATCAGCAGTTCAGGTCTCTGCATCTCATCTGGGGGTAGAAGGTCTGTGTAGTGGGTAGAGAAATCAAATGTTCTGAATAAAATAAGTATTTGCTCTAGGAGCAATTCTGCGTGGCTGAGTGCCTAGAGAAGAGAATTTGTTATCTTCTTTTCACCAGCCATGTTATTACACCCTAGGAAACTTCAGGGAGGTTGTGAACTTTCTTGTAGTCATCATCATGTTTCAGAGTATTTTAAAGCAGTCTGCTCAGCTGCATGCAGGAAATACTGTTCATAGGCATATTTGGTAATGGTCACCATTCTGTGTGCCTTTGCTGGGCTATCCTGAATATATGGTGTGGCCTTCAGGCCCATGCTGTGTTGTAAAGATCCCTTGGTCACACATTTACACTTCCTAAAAGAGGGGCCTGCAGGCAGCTCCCACTCAGTTTGAGCAATCGCACCCATGTATGTGGCCCTGCCCCTACTGAATGATGCAGTAAGATTTTCTCAGGCAAACGTGATCTGTTGCGTTTGAAATGCATCAGGTTCGCTTGCTTCCTTTTCAGTCCAGTAATACAGGTAAAATATCTTCCCCTCCTGGTTTCCCCACAGCAGCCTTTAGCGATGAAATTATTGGTCCTTTCAAGGCAAGTGGGGTGCCTTCCAATATGTTTGGGGATTTTTTGTGCTGGGTGAAAAAGTTTCATTTTAGGACCTATCAAGTTACACGAATATGTGCCTGGCTGTGAGGTCAGTCCCCAAAAATACTGGCAAACCTCTGAAATATTTCTCCACAGTGCTATTTTATCACAGCAGTCACCAGGTGAGAGGTATTCTGTCTTTAAAGCCTCCTGAAGCTATACTCACAGTTAGTGGGGTGCATTGCCCTGTGCTCCTCTGAGCTGTTGGGTTATCCAGGTTTTGCAAGATGGCACCCATACACTCAACTGTTTGGAATTTAAGTGTACAGTATGTCCTCCCATACTTGGAACACTGCCAGCCTTTCCTCCCTCTTTTGCCTGTATGCTTTTGCTAAATCTTGAAAGTTGAGCTGTGTAAAATTGCACAAGATCATGCTGGGGTGCCCTTGGACCTCTTGGCTCTGTGAAGCGCTAGTGGCTGGACAGAAATGCTGTTGCCAAACTCATCCTCTGACCCCCTGTCTATTCATCCTCACCAGCCATCCTTACCGCACCATTTATGTCCCTGGTAAATATCTCCTGTCTCAGTGGTGCCCTTCCTGCTCTGTGTGCTCTATGTGCAACCACAGGCAGCAGCACTGCAGCTTTGTTGCTTGGGGCTGTGCTGCAGAGCTGCACCAGGACCTCATGCCGCTCTTCCTGCGATGGCTGCAAGCACTCCCATGTCTGTTTTGAGCATTTTAATGCTGACCAAAGACAGCATAAAATCTCCTTAGCTTTTCCTTTCCCTAGACTCTGGAAACTGCCCGGACTTACAGGACACCTTACAGGTACTCCTCACAGATTTACACAGGACTAGCTAGGCACAGAGTTTCTCTTTTCTTAATTGCTCTTTCTGCAGAAAGCTATTTCTTGCTGAAACCTGCAGAGTATACCAAATTTTTTTGACTAGGAGGTGGTGGTCCATTATGATCCCAGTAAGAAAAGCATATTTTGTAAAGTATCTAAAAATGCCATGAATTGTAGCTAACACTAATCTTACACCCCTTTAGATGCTGAGAACCCCAAGCAAAGAAGCATTTCCCCATGTCACGCAGACGTGGTTCATAGCAGAGATTGTCTCTGTTTTGCGGAGAAAAGAAGAAAACCCCACAACTTTGTCAAAGTTGTAAAGCTTGGTATGTTTATTACAGCGCTGGACGCATGTGGAGATTGCTCTCCTCAAAAAAGGCATGCGTGCCTCTGAGAACTTTTATCTCTCTCTCAAATACATATGCATACAGTTTCACAATAGGTTCATACATATTCATTTTTATGGGTTTCATGTGACATTTACCGCTAGTTCCCTTTTATCAGAAAGAATTCCGAGGTCAGGTTGACCTGCCCTTACAGCAGTCCCTGTCACTCTCTATCATCTTCTGTCTCCCCCCCGCCGTTATCTCTGTCCTTCGCTGAAGTAACTTCACTGAGCTTAGCCTTGCAGTCTGGCTAGATAACTACGATTTCTAACCACAGACTCAAGTCAAAAATGTACATTTCATCTAAATTAAAATGGATTTCTATCCTGGAAAATTTTCACTTTGCTTCATCTCCTTTCAGTCTTTTAAGGTATTGTAAGATTCTTGAATAAGGAAACAGCTCTATGTAGCATATCTACAGTCAAAGAGAAACAATGTTTGCAAGGGAATATCTTTCTGCACTGTTCAATAAGGTCAGGGCCACATAAGCTGTGTTACCTCAGGTCCTGGGTGGGAGCTGCCTGTGGTCTCTGTAAGGAAGAGCTGGCTGAGTTTCCTCTAGGGCTTGGGTTCTGTGCAGGCAGCACAGGCCTGAAGGTGCCATTGTACAGGCAGCGCAGCACAGGCACCAAAGGCGTGGGGCAGTGTCATGTCCTCCAGAGGTCATAATACCGTGGCTATTGGAGGGGAATGTTCTGCATGCTGTAAGGCAAGGACCATGCTGATGGCCCCTTCATGGGCTTCCAAGCAGTGCAGAAACACAAATGAAGATACAGGGAACATATCCACCAATTTTTCCAAGCGAAGCTGAGCAGGACAGGAGAGTTTTGAGAGAATAAGCATTTATTTGCTCTCATAATCAGACCCTTGGGGCACAGGAACAGCATCTTTTTGAAGGCCGCAAGGACCATTGAGTTTCATGACATCCATATGGGGCACAAAAAGTGGGGAGGGGAGTTGGCAGTCCCACACGTGCCTGTCACTTTGCCACTTTCAAGAAAGATGCAAAAATACTCATCTGGTTTAGCTAGCACCTGCCAGAATGCTCACCTAGGAAAGGGGAAGGATCAACAGATATGAACTGGTACTATTCAGAGCATGGGTACTATTCAGATACCACAATCTCAGAGTGACTGAGAAGAGAAGACACCTGCATTGTGGAGAGGAGACACCTGCATTTTTTGAAGCAGCTTTCATGAATTGTCACCACATGCCCACATGTGAACCTTTACTGGTAGCCAGCTGTGGGAGGTTGTCCTTGGCTGGGTGTTGGATATCTGCCAAGCCACTCTTTCAATCCTCTTTAGCAACAGGAGAGGTGGAGAAACTAAGAAGAGAAACCTTACAGATCAAGATAAGGACAGGGCATAATTCATAAATATTTTGGCCAATATCACTGGCAAAACAGACTTGACTTAGAGAAGAGTAATTTAATTTATTGCCAGTAAATAACAGAGTAGACAGAGAGATATAAAAAGAAAATTAAAACCACCTCTTCCTCATCTTTGAGCAGCATTAGGTACATCTCTGAGATGGCTGAAACTGTCTCTGTCAAATATGGGGGAACCTTGATCTCTTACTGCCTCCCACTACCAAAACGTTTCTACATTAGCTCTAAATAATCTTATTTTTCTCTTGCAACCAGAGTTCAAATAGTGTCATTGTTCTTGTTCTCTCTTGGCTATCATAAGAGAATGTTTTACATATAACAGAAAAAAAATTGTGTAGGAGATGCCTGTAATTTGTTCAAAAGAAAAAGTAAATATTGCTGTCACATTCTTTGTGTGGTTTTGCAAACTCTCAGCATTAGACAATCTTGCCCTCCTTGAATCTTTTCAGCTGAGCACTGATGAGCATTTCCTCCTATCTCCCAGGTGAAGGGTCCAGGGGTTGGCCTGCTTGGTTTCTCTGAAGGAGCCGAAGTGTCCCTTGCCATGGCTGCCTTCCTGAAGAACATCTTGGCTGTTGCTTCCCTCAATGCCCCTGTTGCTGTTACAGTGATTCCTCTCTCTTACAAAGATAAAATCATCCCCACTGTGACCTTACATGAACACAAAGCCAAGGCCACCAATTCCACATTTCTTGACTATTCTGATGGCATGGATGATCCCTTTCAAGCTCCTGGCGACCAAAGCCGGATCCCACTAGAGAAAAGTGAGGCACAGCTTCTATTCATTGTGGGCCAAGATGACTGTGTTGTCAAAAGTGAGTATCATGCTACTGAAGTCTGCAAGCTTCTGCAGGCTCAAGGGAAGAAAAATTTTCAGATCCTCTCCTAATCTGGAACAGGGCAGTGCATAGACCCACCCTTTTTCCCTTTGTACCACACAGGAAGCCACCCTGTTTTTCACAAGCGAGCTGTCCTGGGTGGGGAGCTCGGGGCTTATTCTAAAGCTCAGGTTCATGCTTGGTCACAGATCCAGGCATTTTTCAAAAAGTATTTAATTGTTAACTAATGTGCAACAAATAATGTGCAAGAAACACACAATTTTGAACAACCAGATCTGATAAAGTCTACTGCAGTTATGAGGTCAAACCTTTGTCACAGCTGTACCAGTAAAACTGCAGTATCTTTCATACCTTTGCATATCCATAACAGAAAATAAATGGGTTTGCCTTTTCTGTCCCCCTCTCAACCTTTTTGCTCAAGTGTCCAGAAAAGGAATGGTGGTTTTTGCATTAGTCTTTGATAAAACAGGTCATGTGCAAAATGCACAGTTATGTTTCTTGGGTTCTTTGATAAAACAGGTCATGTGCAAAATGCACAGTTATGTTTCTTGGGTGGTTTCTATTCCCCTAATACTTGACAGTCCTTTCCATGTCACTGTGGTCTCTACATGAATATGCTATCCTCAGGTCATACTAATTGTCTCTAATGACAGTTTTGGAGCAGAGATTTCACTGCTCTTCTGGTGACTGTGTCATTGCAATGGAAATGTCTCTGACCTCTGTGCTGCTGGAAGTGTGTAAGAATGGCTGCTATGGCCAGGATACTGGGCTCTCTCTGGTTAAGCCTTGGAAAAGGTTGTTTGCCTTTTGTGCCTTCTTTCCATCTTCCCTTCCAAAGGAAGTGCTCTG